AGAGTCTTACTTCAATTTCTAACCCCCCAGACACAACTATGGTCTTTATGTAATTGTTTTTTCGTCCCCCTACGCTCAGCTACCAGACCCAAGGAACAACCGAAGTCATGGACAAACTTCCACCCAGCTCTGACGACAGGGCACCCGGGATAGTCGCCTGCTGTATTGCCTCGATTGTGGTTCCCAGCATTGCTGTAGCGCTGCGCCTATGGTCAAGAGGAGTGGCTGCTTCGCTGACGTTTTGGTGGGACGATGTAGCCATCCTGGTAACACTCGTTTTTTCGCATGCCTTCTTAGCTATCACCCTGTATTGGACGACCATAGGCCTAGGAAAGCACTCCCGTACGATTCCAGTGGACCTGGTAAACCTCAACAATAATGTTAACCGAGTGACGCTTGTATTTTACTCTGCCTGTATCTTGCTCCTCAAATTGAGCGCTCTGTTATTATACGCACGCATCTTCAAATCTTCCCCTGCGTTCCGGCGTGCCTCGTGGATTATTGGTGTCATCTTGACACTATGGTGGGCCATTCTCACCATCGTGCCCTGGCTGTTCTGTCATCCAATCGAGAAAAGCTTGAATATTTTCCTTCCTGGAACATGCGATCACCCTATTTCGTGGTACTACATAAGCGCATTACTCAATTTCGTCGCGGATTTGGTTGTGCTCATCATGCCAACTCCAATCATCTGGAAGCTCCAGATGACACTGAGAAAGAAGATTTCAATCTCCTTGGTGTTCCTCATAGGATATGTGTGAGTAATGGTGTATTCTCGAACTCTCTTATGACACCAAGTTTCTCCAACTCATCTTTACTCTCTCTATCAGGTCGGCGTTCCTATCCTTTGCTCGTTTCATAATTATTGTTCATGATCCAAGCATATTGAATGGGGGTCAAGATGCCGATCCTTCCTGTGAGTTATTCGGTCTACACCCGGCCATTTCGTCGCCAGCTTACCCTTCTGTTGTAGGGGACCTAGTACCGTTGCTTTATCTATCGCTCCTCGAAGCCCCCGTGGCAATTATTGCTCTCTGCGCGCCATCGATCAGCCAGCTAGTGGCTCGGGCGGTTGAGCAAAAGGCTCTCAGCTCACTATTTCACTCGCGCCCGCAATCAACATCTCGGGGGAGCAGCAGTATGGAGAGAAAGGTCTCTGATAATTCCAACGGATCGGGGATTGTTCCGCTTGACTCTTCTGCCAACAGGTCTTGGATCAGCAGGCCGAAATGGGCGAATGCATCTCATACCACCACAATTAGTGCTACTCGTACTTTGGACGAAGATGGCAACCAGTTTGAGTCTGGAGGTGTAACTCTTGGCGCAATTCATGTGAAGGACCGTTACGATGTTGTTCACCGGCAGGTATAAACTATTCGGGGGCATTCCTGACAACTGCCCATCTTGTCGCCGTACCGAGACCCTTTACAGTCCTCCGGTTGCCTTTAGTGAATTATCACTTGATCCTTAAATGGCCAACTAATTACCAGCACTTCAGGACAATACTGGGGACTGGATTGATCATTTAGGATGTAGATAGATGTACGAGAAGGTGTCCCAGTTTGATTGGTGGGCGGAACTGTCTCGCCTTTTCCACGGTCGCGCCATATTTCTTGGCCCAACTATTCTAGAAGATTTCGCATATTGTAAGAAGTGAGCTCAATCTCAAACCAAAATCCCATTATCTAGACTTATCTCAAATCTAGCTGTGGGAGTAAACACAAGCTTATGAACAAACGAAGGTCTATGTATGATAGTTGTCAGAAATAACCACTTCATTATATTAGCGTTATATTTTTTTAACTTTTGTCCGAATTTATACGCTAGGTTGAATTTGGTGGTTTTATATGTAAACTGGGTGGCCTGTAGCCCTGGCGCCCGTGAGGGGGGGCTTACTTAGATCGTTAGCATTATTAAAGTTCGTAGAATCTGCCTATTTACAGTGACAATTTAGTAGAATCCGAGAGAGTTCTAGCAGATGCATCTTAGATAACATGATGTAATATTGTTTGGTAAAGGATGGTCGAATCTTTCCTTCATAGGGAAATGGAGGTAGAGATAGCACTCATAAATTTAATTTACTCTGAAGAGTTTAAAACCTTCGTATTCCAAGGATCAGACTCCAATAAGGCACAGGCAATGTGGTATAGCTTCTTTTATGAAATATTAAAAGCTACTGTGGCCTGGACCGATTGATTACCGTCTTTGTAGTTAGCTGTGACGGTAACTGAATGAAGCTTTTCTATATAGTCCCTTTTTGCCTACGATTTGTTCTAGTGCTAAGACTTGACATAGAAATACAAGCTGCGAGCAAAGGAGGCATTCTTGAATATAGGTAAAGTAGCATTCAGAAAGGTTTCAGAAGCTTTGCGCAACAACAAAAATTTTTACTTACGGCATACCGAAAGGCTCCGATATTACCACTGAAATAATATTTATTAACAGCAAAGATTATAAAGTGATATATATATTTGCTAAACCTATATTTAGTTTCATTAAAAGCTATGTAAATTCACCGCAAACCCCTTTTTAAATATATAACTTTTAAGAAAATATTTAACACTATATACATTTATTAACTTTAGCCATTGTTATTTCTCATAGATGTCTTAACAACCTATATTTTATTACTTAATCGCTATAAGGACTTATTTTCTCGTTCCTTTACACACTTTCATTGGATTGGGCTACTAAGCTTCTAGGAGCTGTTAATGTGCTTCCTATAGTTGTATCACAGTACAAAAGGGTTAGGTTTCGATGTTATGCTTATCGTGGCATAATTTTCCATGATCCTCTCCGTATACATAGTGTCCTAGTAAGACTTGTATTCTACTACTCGGGAGTTTTTCTTTACCAGAAAAATATTATATGTAAGTCCCACACTATTGTAGCTCGAGGGCTATAACAATTATAACGGCTAAATTGAGACAAAGGGAAAAAAATGTTGGTATAGGAGGAATTAAACCTCCAATGTTGGACTCGCGGGGAATCGAACCCCGGACCACGAGTATTATACCACTAAACCACAAGCCCATGTGGAGAGGAATTGCTATCCGGTTAGGGGATGCTAGCTCCTGAATGAAGCACGGATTTCCAAATTTGATATATAGCTAGATAAAAAGATATATGTTAATTTAGGTGAAAATGTTAAATCATTACGGCTTTTAGATTTAGGATTAAGGTTTATGCTTATCTTGGGTGTCTTGTGATATATATGGACCATTAATGGTAAACATAGGGTTGAAAATTAAACTTTATTGTTAAAATTAAACTCTCCACGAGGTAAAATTCACTTTAAATCACAATGCATAAACTTGAGATAGTTAAATTATATTTCTATATTCCTAGAAATATGGTATCATAAACTCCTTCACACTGGTCTGAGAGTTGAATCAACTCGAAGATATACCAATTCCCGTATCTTACCACAGGACGCAAAGATGCCATTGGTAGCTTTCCCACAGACCACGCGCTTCAAGGAATCACAATCCTCCCATGTCTTAGTCTCTTCATTGTACATCTGCATTTGCACAAAGTGGCACATCTTGCTACTCGCTGATTGATAACTTCTTTTGGCGGAATGGAGGTGGACGTATACTCAACAGTCGTCGGTGGGGTAGAGAGTTAAACTAACAATTTATGTGCGCTATTAGAAACATCTTACAACTAAATATATATAGAGAGCCCTAGAGATACATGTCTCGTGAACAGTAGACCTGTTGAAAGTAGTGAGTGAATACTTTGTTGCTATTTCCCCCATGACAAAGATATTGTTCACATAGATGTAATACTCTGGTTGCCTCGAGGAATCAGGAATCAGGATGACAATTGACAAAAGACTTACACTAATAGCTGTACTAATAATACCAAAGTTCCTATAATGGAATCTCAAGTTGAGATACGTGTAATAGATAGTGTAAGCTGCTTTATATAAATGGAAAGTAACGAGGTTCTGATAAATACAAGCTCCGAGCTGCAAAAAGACTAGATAATCTTAGGTAGCATCTCGGTATTTATGTAACTTAAACAATAGGTTTAAAATAGCATATATAGTATAATACTAATAAATGTATTATCTAAATTTTTCTCTAGCTACTCTTAGGTTGAAATGCACTTAATGGCCTTTCTTTCTTTATTTCTTTTGCATCATTTTTCGGTTTTTCTATCGTCTTTCTTTGTGTTAATAGCGGAGCTATGGAATAGCATATCGGCCGATGCGTAGACGTTTTCTATAGTTACCTGTAGATTCCCTCACCTTAGAATTTAGATAGCTATAGGGAGGTAGAGAGAGCACGAAACATGTTAGTTTTACCCCTTAATGAGATGCTACATCTTTTATTAGCGGGGCATTAGTTGAAGGCTTATAATAATGTGGCATTAAAGGATTATGATGCATGCCCGCCGATCTGGTACAGCTAGCATCTTGCATCCGCCAACATTTAGACTGGGATCCTCAAGGTCGTCTTAACTTGAAGATCTAGAAAAGTCTGTATGATCGAAATAGGATGTACGTAATCGTCATCCTAGATTAGATAATCCGTATTCTCTTTATGCACACAATCTATATTTATTAATCCTTTTTTTGCCGTACTGTCATTTTGAAACGCAATATTGTGTGCGACCTATGTTTTATTGTTCATTGGCATCATATCCAATTATGAATGGATTCGTTCCTTTTTTTGTGCCTATGAGTCGACACGATCCAGCGGGTAAATCATACACGCCGCACTCTGGAAGCCTGGATATAATCACAATCGCATTTCTAGAAATATTTTGCTTTAATTCTTCCATATTAAGGATTTATTCAGTAGGATTAGCGGCAGGCTGGTCCTAAGGATGGGTGGCTAAGAAAAAGTCGTCTAGTTTGGGCTTGTAGCACAGCCACATGCCTATGGCTTAGCAGGTGGCTCAACTACCGGCCTACCACAATAGCTTCATCTTGATTCATGGCCCATCTCTACTAAAAAAAAACTGAATACATGCAAAAAAAAATGATATTCTGAGAGCTGCAGGATTCGAACCTGCGCGGTTTCCCACCGCGGGATTTATGGTATGCTAAGGATCTCCTTTTGCTACTACCTAAACACGGCGCCTTAACCACTCGGCCAAACTCCCGGGCTGAATTATTATTTCATACTCACCTCAGATGTTATAAGGTATTGCAGTTATTTTTTCTGCACACTAAGGGCCTTTCTATCATTCCTAAGGAAAATCTCATAAGAATTTATGATCTAGCAAAATCTTTCACTAAGTTATTGTCACAATATTAACAAGTTCCACTATCTGCGGTTATAGCAATGGAACTTTGTTCTTTATAAATTAGCTAATTAGCAATAATATTCAGTAGGGTTTCTTATGCATGAATGAATATTCCCACTCATTAATGATTATCTGCAAAGTTTAAGAAAAATTCGTTACAGTTAGATAGTGTTTTCAAAGAGATTTCTTGTGTGCATGGCTTATTTAAATAAACTAAATAAAATAAAAAGAGATGATTAGCAATAGTAAAGAGAATATGTATTAGCTCCGAATCGGGGAATCGAACCCCGGGCTTGACGGCACTTCTATGAGAGCGTCAAATGTTAGCCACTACACCAATTCGGAGTGGATGTGCTATGAAGGGTGCACACGAATACAGTATTTATTAATACGATCTCGAGCTAGAGCCACGGTAGAGTTGAAAGGTTTTATAACTGAGCTTAGGAATTCTTTATGATGTAAATTCCAAAGAGATATTAAATAGAACAGGTTGAGCACTGTTTAATGTGTTAATAATCAATATGGCATAAACCACGCTTTGCAATATTGTTGTTTTATAACTCGGATTCGGGTGAGGCTAAGAGTTCGATATAAGACCAGTCTTCAGGATGGGCAAGCTTGTCCCACCTCTCTATATCAACCTCCTTGGCCGCAAGCTGGTATGTTGATGTGCGCATATGAACCCTTTCAACAAGCAGTGCCCCTATTTCTTTGTGTAGCTGTTTCATTTCTTCTTCAAATTGTCCGCGTGTCATCTCAAGCGATCCGTCTTGCCAGCTAAGTCTTTTCCCGCAGTGTGAGTAATGAATAGCAGTACCATAACGAGATCCCGGCAAAATTTGGCCGTCAAGGCCAACGACTACAGCGTCACGACGTAGTTCGAGCGGTGTCAGCAGATTCTCAGGGCGTCCGCGAGGGCGTGGCTCATACAACTCCTGTCAACGGCATGGCAGACGTTATAACAATGATTATGGTAGAGCTCTAGGCGGCGGTGGTTTTAATCGTAAACGAGCCATCGTCGAACTTACAACAGCAGGTAGACAGCCTCTACGCACTTCTTACCAGTGTCATAGACGAACTACAAGGACTTCCCACTTTTATTCCCGAAGCCGTCGCTAGCTATCAATTGCAGAACCGAGCAAACGCATGTTAGATTCATGCCATCAGTCCCTACGACCTCGTGGAGACCCAGACCCAACCGTGATCGACAGCAAGTTCGTAGGTCCGCCTCTGGATGGCCCACCACGCCAACCCTCTAGCAAGGTCAACGAAGGAAATCGAGGCTCTTTGTTGTATAAGGCCTTCTAGTAATACCTTGGTAATGGCAATAGCGCAAGATGATATTCACATTCGCAACAATTTTCCAATAGATCAAATCCCCTGAAGATTCTATCACCTCCGCAGCCCGGATAAGAACCCGCGAATTAGTAGTATATTTTTCTATAAGTTAACTTCAGCAGCTCCGTTCGCCGCCTCCTCTTGTAGTTTTAGCTCGAATCCTAATTCCGAAACTTCGCCGCGTTTCCATGTGTAAATCTCTTCTCCTCTCTCCTCAACTTTATATTCTAAGCGCTTGTTACCGAAATTTATCATTTGAGGGTTTATGTACCTAGACCCCGGCCTAATACAGTATGGCTTCTGCAAGTATGCCTTTTTATCTCCAAGCTGCCGCGCGACTCTATCCTGCAGACCTTCTGGTCCATATATGTTAAGCGTATATCGTTTGGTGCTCAGAGCAGGCTTTACAAGGCTGAATTCGAGGTCCTTTAACTTATCCGCTATAGGAATCAGACGCACTTGAATATGGAAAGGTACAAATCCTCTCCAATCGTCGTCTAATAATATCTAAGTATAGTTAGAAAATTAAAAAGGTAAAAGTTTGATGTCCGCCTGCATACTTACTGAGACGGTGTGGGTAACCTGACCACATGGGGGTTAGATTGATTAGGTCATCAAGGCCTAGTTTTTCTTTTCTTTATTTAAGATAGTTAGCCCATGCCAGTTAGAGATAGTTGGGACGCCACACAAGCGGCCCCCTTCGGGGGTCTGCTACACCCAAATATACGTTTGCGTCACTTATTTACTGTTTTTCTAAGCCTCAAATCTCTAGAAGTGATCTATATGACTGTAGTCGGTCCTCTAGAGTGCGCAGTGTGTGTGTGTTACATACCTCGTTTCATTACGCAGCCGTAGCAAATCATACTAGTAGGCTCAGTATTTGCTGTAGACATAGCGAAGGTTGCTCTGAGTAACTCAGAAGGGCCTGTGACCTCTTTTAGCTCAACGTAATCTATCTATGCTCCAATGCTATCAGTCTACTATTCCTAAAAGGCAATATGACACAAGTAGAGTTAGGGGATCAGCTCACTCTTTTGTCTCCCTATTGTTAAGTGGAAGACGGCACATAGTAATAAATTAATAATACATCGACTTAGGTAAGATGTAGGAGCCGGTAACAAAGAGACATGTCTGAAGGCGGGCGCGACGCAAGAAAAGTTATAAATGACGGTATGGGAGAGGGTGAGGGGAAACTGACAGAATCGAGTTCCTAAATTTCTATTCGAAAATAGATTGCCATCTAAATGTTTTTCATTTGTGACCTGTCATGTTGAACTGTAGGATTGGCTAGAATTAGTTGAGACAGGGGATCTAAAGCCTTATGTGAGCGCGTTTCATTTAGCCTCCTTTCAGAAGCAAGGGGTGAAGATGATAGGAGTTGAAGGGACTATAAGTACCAACCCCTTAACTACCCTTGCTTTGTCGCAAACTCTACCTTAGTTTTCTATTTTCTGAACTTATTACAGTATTGACTATATATTTTCGCGTCTTCTATTTTTTCGTTTTATTTTTACTTCAGTTATACCCTGGAGGAACAGACAAGGTAAGGTAGCAACAGAGTTAAGGGTAAGATTATTTGTGCCATAATAAATTGCATACTAGAGTTGTTGGCTTCACGATCTTGTCTATTAAACTGGGCTGACGACTTTTAAGCTCTACATCTTGGATGTTTTTAATGAAAATACGAGTGTTCCGGTGTGTCAAGGGAAAGTTCACATTCTCAAAGGTCTTCAGGTCGATATTAATAGATCGCTTGCAGTGGTGAGCAAGACTAACATCACCAAGTATAGCGTGGTAAGGTCCCTTAGGGAAACTGTTACATTAAGGGGGACTGTTTAAAATTTACGCTAGTGATGTAGTGTTCCTTTGATATTTCTGGATCTATGCTTCTCTAGCTGAGGCTTGATGATTCAGTGATAAGGGGTAGGGAAGCTTGTTGGTCTTTCCTCTTTTCTCATGGGAGTCTTGTAGCACCTACCCCAAATGGCGGCTCATGAGGTTGCTAGGAATATGGCTGAGTGATATGATATGGTTATGGACAGAATAAGTTCTGAATGCTGCCAATTTCACGATGGACAAGAGGGGGAGACGACCGACTACGATAATGCCATACAAATATAGCGACTTACTATAAGTGCCAACGGCTGACAATTGGGCATCAAGCATGTGATAATATACAAGCTGAAGCATAGCAAACGACCATTCAATTCGGCGGCTCAGTGTCCAAGCCGAGGGTCGATCTGGGTTGTCAGATGGGCCACGCGGTTATCTGCATGACATGAAGCCTGAGACACCTCTAGGTATTCCATGTGCAACATCGAGCAGCCACTGATATTGGCATATTCTTCAAGGAAATATCGGGGAAAGCGTCCATACCCCTCTCAGATCACAGAGCCAGACAATATTCCCCCGCCTGTTGGCAAACGTGACCGGGGGGTGTATAAGACGGCGTTGAAGTCGCTATCCGGGTCAGATTAGTCAGTGCAGATGACGTAGTGCACTGCGGCAATGCGGCAATGCGCGCCTACTAAGTAAGGTCATGGCATCAGAATTGTTATATAATCTCGGATATCTAGATCGAAGATGAGATGACGGATCCCGACGTGCTTGGGGTTATATCATCAAGGGGGCGTCGACCCATGCATACCACCCTCCTTGAGTATACTGTAGAGGTATGCATGCATTTCTTGTAATAGGGAGCAGAGAGTTCGCGCAGCATTTCTTGGCCTCGGATAATAATTAGGATCTGATGTGAGATGCCAAACTTGGCCGATGGTCATCAAATGAATCGATCGTAGAAATTGAAACCTTCAAGACTTCATTTGCATGTTACTCCATATTGTGTGGCCTTTGAGGAAGCTCAAGAGGGGTCACGATTGTGCGACGACGTAAAGTTGTACCTCCGGATGGTATTAAGAACTAGTCAATTCTTGTCTATGCGCGTCTGGCAGGTTTGTCAAATGTAACGACGGTCAGCAGTCCTAGTCGAGACCATAGTTATGACCGTTGCGATCACGAGGGAGATTCGGTAGTTATCCAGACATTCTCACGTGCTCCGGGTTATTGCGAATGTCGCAAGTTCGGAGCGCTTTTCCTGTATAATCTCGGTCATGGCCTGGCAGTTCTTTCTGGGCTGATACTCACGACGATGAAACGAGGGACTATCTAAGGTGCATGGGTGTTGGGATCCGGCTTACATGTCGTTATCGGGGCGCATGAGGAGACGGTTCTCGGTATACCAGTAGATGCAGCCGGGCGCCGGGGCGAAAATGTCCCTATCCTCGCTTGGACTTGCAATGACTCCTGGTGTATCTAGTGCGTGATACACACCTATGAGGTCAATTGGAAGAAGAGTCCCGCCTGAGCAACCGGTCACTTTCATCATTCGCTGGGCTCAGCACGGTTAGACTAGTCTGGTGTAGTCATAGTACGCAACTTGTATGTAGAACATATGTAGAACAGGGGCATTTGATTCATAATCCGCAACGTAGGTACACGCGTCGGGGGTGTCTATCTAT